ATTTATTTATTTTGAGAGAGAGAGAGAGAGCATGTGCAAGCAGGAGAAAGGCACAGAGAGAGGGAGAGAGAGAATCCCAAGCAGGTTCTGCTCTGTCAGTGCAGAGCCCAATTCAGGGCTTGATCTCATGAACCGTGAGATCATGACCTGTGCCAAGATCAAGAATCAAACACCCAGCTTACTGAGCCACCCAGGTGCCCTTCCATTATATTTTAAATAAATTGTGTTTTTGTCTCTTGGTGTGCAAAACCATGTCAGTTTTACTTTACCTTCATTGCCTAATGACCTTCAATTGGCAGGGGCTTCTCATGCTTCTGTTTTCTGATTTGGTACAGGAAACTCTTTACATTAGGCCCATTTGTAGGTGGGACATGTAGGTACACGGAGAACAGAATAAAATGATTTTTGGGTAACAAACGGCCATCTCATGGTGTTCTGAGTGATAATTTGGGAGCGTTCTCTCAGACACATATTATTATTTCAGTGTGGTCCAGAAAGTTGGCCGTCAGTAACTGGAAAGGAGACTCCCACTGCTACCATCTGAGTCAGGATTTCCTCCTGTGAAAATCAGTTTTCTCTTTTTATTTTCTTAACTCTAATGTCTGTATTTCAAACCCATTCCTGAGCAGCATTAATGGTTGAAAACAATGATTTGCTATCTTATTTTTAGGGAGCACTTTTCTTTTTAAATGAAATTTTATTCTTAAAAACCAAGTTGTAAATAGAGAATGTTAACCTTGGATGTATCCCGACCAGTCTGCAAACCACAAGATGAAGGATATGGGATCCTATCTTACACATGGGGAAAACTCCCCAAGCTTCAAAGCCTGAAATTCAAACTTTGTAATGCAGCATAATTAGGACCATTTTTTCCCATTTCAGTTGTAGAAAGCCAGGCCAGTACTCCTGATGGTAAATACAAGAGTGAGGGGAAGACAGGCCTGTGTATATTCTTTTTTTTTTTTAAATGTTTATTTATTATTTTTGAGAGACAGAGCTCGAGCAGGGGAGGGGAGGGGCAGAGAGAGAGAGGGAAACACAGAATCTGAAGAACTATCAGCACAGAGCCCGACGCGGGGCTTGAACTCACAAACCATGAGATCATGACCTGAGCCAAAGTTGGACGCTTAACCAACTCAGCAACCCAAGCGCCCCAGGCCTGTGTATATTCTAAGATGGAAATGTATCGAGCTCCTACCTGCCATGCTATACACATTGCGTTACCTGGACCCAGAGACATGGCCTGACTCTGCCCCGAAGTCTATGAGTGATGCTGCCAGGTTCAACAACTTGCTGGACAGTGAGAAATGACCTTGGCTAATTTCATCATTAACCACGGGAAGGGGCTGGAGTCCTGTCCTTCCCTGAGAGACAAACGTTACTGAAGATGTCCCCACTCTCCAGCAGGCCTTAAAGCAACTGAGCTAAGGCCGTGTTTGCTATAGTGTTCTAGCCCTGAAGCACCTTCCCTGAGCCGGTGATGGAGCATGTGATGAGCTGGTCATTGCATGTGATTTTTCACCCTGTCTGTTCAATCAGCAAAGCAGAGCAGCCTTGAAATGCTATGAATAAATATTTGGAGTTCCTGGGTTTCTCATAACTCTATTTTTCTTCTAGGGATTAAATGGGAACCAGATGAGAATGGAGTCATTGCCTTTGACTGCAGGAACCGAAAATGGTAGGAAATGGTCAAACCTCTTAGTTACTTTTTAAAGAGAACTTGTGGAGAGGTTCATAATTCATTTTTTGCTTAATTTTCCCCTGACCTAGGTACATCCAAGCAGCGACTTCTCCGAAAGACGTGGTCATTTTAGTGGACGTCAGTGGCAGCATGAAAGGGCTCCGTCTGACTATTGCAAAGCAAACCGTCTCATCTATTCTGGATACGCTGGGGGATGATGACTTTTTCAACATAATTGCTGTGAGTGCAGCTGTTTTGTGCTTTCTCTGCGCTTTGGGTTCATTTGATCTTTTAGCAGCAACCGGTTCACATTCTCATTGCTTTTGTACACACAACATTAGAAGTCCTGCCCGAGATGAGGACCAGTTAGCCCCATGTGAGCTCCCTGAATCACGATGTTGGAATGGCTTTCAGAGTCTGGGAAAGCAGTCGAGCACATTTCCTCTCCTCACCTCGCACTCAGGCACTGCCATCTGGAAGAGTAGCACCAGATTTGGTTTTCCTGGGGAGCCAACCTTTTCAGAACCTTGGGGAATTAGGTCTTGCAAGATATTCCTCAGACGGCTAGTGGAGATTAACTTTAAGCTGGTTTGGTCTGAAGACCATGATAGGAATACTAATCATGATGACAAAACAACTACGCTGTAGAGAGCTGTTTAAGGCTCACAGAACCCTTTGTCTCAGCTTCATAAACAAAAGTGCGTTTATTAAGTGCATACTGAATGCCGTTCGCTTACCCTTCATATTTGCATGGTCTTTTGTTCCTCACGGCAATTTTAGCATGGTTTTTGCATTTTCTCCGATGAGGCTGCTGGGGTTGCGAAGGTCAGTGACTTGCCCAAGGTTATAGAACAGGGAGGTGGGAGACCCGGGACCCAAACAGGATAGTAATAACATGCTTCCTGGAAAGGAGCAATGGCTTCTGAATTCCATTTCCAGCTCTTTTTCCTCTTCTCCCCAGTTCTCTGGTGTGAGTCTCATCACGCACCTTATGTCCCTCCTACTCTTTTTCCAAAAACTATAGCCACAACAAGCCTGCTTCTTTTCCCTGAGTACTTTACCAGGAGCTCCTGCCTGGTAGTCACCTGTGCTTTGCCGCACCACCTCTGCCTAGGACACTGAGTGGCTGCAAAAGGCAGTCAAGGCAACGTGGTGTGGTGAACAGAGTGTGTGCTTTGGGGTTGGGACTTAGTTTTGAATAGTTCTGTCCCATACAGCAAGCTGCACATCTTGAGGCAAACTGTCAGCTGAAGCTTGAGTAATCATATTACCTGCAGAGTTGCTGCCAGGACTACCTGAGCTGGGGCACAGGAGCCCCCCCCCCCCCCCCCCC